AAAAAAAATAACAATAAATATATTTTTTAAATAAATTGTTTAATCGAATATGTTATTAAAAAACTTTCTTCTTACAAATTACCTGCTTATTACGTCTACACTAAAAATGAAAAAATAAAAACTTAAAAAATAAAATAAATACCAACTTATTTACTTACCGACAATATTTTAAGATTTGAATATTTAAGAGGTAGGTAAATATGTATTTTACGAATCGAAATATATTAGATTTGCTTTGCATCGGCTGGCACCGACTTCGAAAATATCTGATTATTCTAAATGAAAACCCCCATTTAGTGATTTTTTATATTTTAGTGCCTGGAAGTCGGTCTTCTTTTAAGTTTTTATTTGGTTTTTAAAGTTGGGAAATACACATACCACCTGCTCGCATAGTGTCGTGAGATATGTATTTGACATTGGTAAAAAAGAAGATCAGCAGGATATGACAGCATGTCGTCTTCATTGAGGAAATGCCAATCACTCTCCACATCAGGCTGTTACAGTACCATTTTTTGCCCGATCCAGGATTCGAATCTTAATTAACCTACACAACTGTACATTATGTTACGTTTCAATTATCTTTAAATAATATGAACATACTGAAGAATGTTCTTTTATTATAGGTAGGTATTATTACTTATTTTGTTTATTAGGTAAGATAAAACTTAATTAAGAAAAATATCGTTTCATAAGGCACCTAGAGTACATACATATTAAGTAAGTACTAGCGACTCGCCTTCGCTTCGGTAGGGTTCGTCCCTAGGTTGCTTCCCCGTACAAACTTTCATCCCCATTTTTACCACCTTAAGGGATGATTTTCGGGCTAAAAACCATCTTATGTCCTTGACAAGGTCTTAAAATATCTTCTTACCAAATTTCATCTAAATCGGTTCATTAGTTTCGGAGCCTGTTCGGTACAAGCAAACAAACAAATCTTTCCTCTTTAATAATATTAGTGTAGATAAGTATATTTAATTACAGGAAAGTTACTGAACTTTGCTTTGGAGAAATAACGGTAATCCATAACGTATAATTAGCTTGTAACTTTTAATTTAGGTAATCTTTTTTAACCGGAGAATGTCTATGACTTTAAAAATTGATTACTCGACAACTATTGAAACAATAATTTCAATTAGACCTCTCTTGACATACTCTATAGATATTAGACTAGAGGAGCTCTAGGAAAACAAAAACAAACCTATCCCATGGGAACCGTACATTTTTCCGGGATAAAAAGTAGCCTATGTGTTATTTCTATCACTGTGCCAAATTTCATTCAGTTCCATTTAGCCGTTCTGGCGTGAAAGAGTAGCAGACATCCATGCATACAAAACTTTCACATTGATAATAATATTAGTATAGATTAAGTAGATAATATAATCTATCTCGCGAGATCGTGAACCGTACCATACAAGTTAACGAATTATTTTTCGGTAGATTATAATCTAATCTATCGAAGTGAAACCGTCGAACTGTGAAATGGAAGAATTTACCTAATGGGAAAGGAGGCCCGTGCCTAGCAGTGCAGTGGGAAGTTAATAAAAAGGGCTGAATACCAAAGAAGCAATGTTGTTTTGGAGTATTGTCACTTATATTAAATTGCTTTATCTTTTTAGCTGCGAAAATAATAGTATAAGGAATAGTGACCATTAGGCAAAGGAATATTCCTACAGTAACTTATATTTGGAAAAATCCATTTTGATTTATTGGTCATATGAGGTTACGTAAAACTAAGATAAAAACTATTAAATTTAGCCCAGTCGAATTAGGATTTGACATTGCAAAAATTTTTAACAGCAATTTACCTTCGAAATTCTTTAGGGAAGGTCACTGGAAGTCTAAACTCTAAATTTAGATTCTTGGGGTGCCAGACCCGTTGCGTCATCCGCCATCTTGAATTCAGGGACAAATTTTCCGCGCAAAATTGTGTTGATCTAAACAAAGTTGTTTAAAATCAAATTTTCTACAATTTTGGTCCTTATCAATTTTATTGTAGGATCGATATTTTTCGATTTATACCTGAGAAAAGGAGTTGGAAAATCTTATCATTGTATTATCACGATCATTATTGATGTTTTCGTATTATTATTCCTTAGTTTTTCGGTTGATTGTCGTTGAAAACAACAGACTTCAAACCTATCAATAGATAGCACCTAAAGGTATTAGGTTTGCATAAGAGGTGTATTAAATTAAATCTTTATTAAGTAATTTTATAATTTTTAGTTTTTGAAGTCGGGTTTTTAAACGTAGTTTTTTTATTTTGTTTTTTTTAGTGTCTGTAATAGGTTGTCTTGTAAACTACAGTAGGTAATAATGTAACGATTGGTTATAATATTTCTCAGTTTCTCTACTCCGCACGCTCGCTCCGCCGCAATGACAGGTAGCCTAATACCCACTTATCTGGACACGGGTTAATAATAATATACAATCAACCTAAATGAAAACTCCTAAAAAGCCGTAAGCAAACTAAAATAAAATTACATCGTCCACGTAAACAAACATGTTCATAAAATTAAAGGTACTGGGCCAAACTATGATAAATTTTTATGGGACCAAATGGCAACTATTCGGCATCAAACTAAAGAAGAATCACGTAAATCGGATCATAAATCTCAGCGTAATCGGTATATATAATAAAATCGGTATATATAAAAAATACCAATCGAATTGAGAAACTCCTCCTTTTTGAAGTCGGTTAAAATCGAGCTTCTCTCTGTTCCATGTAAACGAATATTTTGTCTTTGCAGGGACCCCGTGAGGCTGGGACCGGTGCCCCGTGTGTCCTTTCGATAAAGACGGTACTGGATATTGGACAAACATCAAAATGATGATGAAAAGGATATAGGTACAGCTACAATCTACATAGGTACTCAACATGAACGAATTAGCCACTTCGTTCATGGTACTCAATTATTATACGTACGTAGTTTGTTAGATCTTCACTAATTAGTAATTTTAAAAAAATATCCTTATAATATATACCACACGCAGATTTTACCTAAGTAATGATTATCTTAACGTGAATTTATTTTGTAATTAAAGATTTATCTTAGTAGCAATCCATTATTTTAGGAGCTGAAAAAAATAATGCAATCTCATTTTTCCGTAAGTTGCTCTGCCATTTAATATCTGTTACTAGGCTAATTACCTGTAGGTAGTGAAACATGAAGCAGTGGGAATTAAATCATAAAAAGTTAAATCCAGGCCAACTCAGCCACTCAAATGTTGCAATTTTAATGAGCTCTATTAAGGATCGACTCTTGAATGAACAAGTTGATGAGGACTTGGAACTGAGCGACCTACATTGAAAAAATATGCAGTGTACTTCTAGTTGTACTATTCGTTATTTACTTAATATTTTCATATTGAATTGCAATAGTAATTTGAATTTTGAAGTATTTGTTTTTAATTAGAATAAAATTTAACAAAAACAGTTATATACATAATAAAAACAGAAATTTTTATTCTTATAAAACTTATACTACTTTGATATCTACAAAAATATTAGCGAGTAATAACACCAAGAAGTTATGTCCTAAAATACTGGATATAAATGTAACAAGTCTTAAAAGTGTATATTACAGCTGTAATAAAGTTATTAATAAAAGATGGAGGTGATAAAAGATAGCATACAAACTTATATATTCTATTTCCACTGTCCTTAAAATAACTGGTTACATACATTTTTTAATAAATTGTGCAAACATTGTTTTTGTATATAACAAAAAAAAATTGTTGACTTTATATATTTTAATTTATACATAATTGAATAATATTCTTTAACATATGAATGCTGTATCTTATTTTTATTTTGTTATTGTCAGTTAAACTTGATGTTTTTTGTAAATATTTTGAACAGATGCAATATTTCTCCTGTCATAGATTGTAATATAAAGAAAATAGAAAAAACAATTATTAAACACTGCTTGTATTTTACCTACAGTATTTCTTTTGAGTTTCACTGTTCACATTGTTTTTTACCATAGGTACACCTAAATCATCTCAATTCTTTTTTGTATTAACTTGAGGTTAGTAAATACTTAGTAATAAAAACCTAAATATCAATATTTTTCATATTTTTGGTGGGTATAGTATTAAAAATTATGACAGTCTACAAAAAGCTATTATTTTGTAATTTTGTAAATATTCTATAAAAGACTACTAAAATAGCAAGTAAAATGTCATAATTGACCTCTAATATCTTAAATTTTGTTCGCTATAAGTAAACATTTAACATCTTTAAGATTACTCTGCCCTTAATAGCTATTAGCTGCCTAATCCATTACATTTTATGAACTAGTTCTGTCTAGCATATAGTAAAGAAATAAGTGTCCTAACTACTCTTATAACTATGTTATATAATTGTGCTGCCTTAAACTACAAATATTGTACTAAACATTGAACAATCACTTGAAATCATTTTGTTTAATAATACACTATTACAATAAGTAATTTGTGGTATCAAGGTAAATAAGCGATTCCTTTTGTCAAAATACAAATAAAACTAAATATATATAAAATACAAATAGCAATATCTTATCTTCAGACCCAAATTAGATGGAATAAATAAATACAGATTAATCAAATATATTTAACATATGTAAATACATTATGATAATAACAAAACATAAAATAAAGAGGGATCTTATCTAAAGAAACAAATCACAAACATCATGCTTTAGCATGTACAATGGGATTACCTATGTTATATATAAATAATTTCTCTTCATGTGTTTAAAATGATTTAAAAATTTGAATTAAAATTCAATTAAAGGAATGTTAAGTTACCCAAATAAAGCAATAAATATATTAGTGGATGTAGGATATGTAAATTTTAGTATCAATCTAAAATAAATCATCCACAGTCAGTCTTTTGACATTACTTGTAATCTGTGAACACAAATGCTTCTGCCATTTTAATCTGTATTTAGTTTTCTGCTTTGTCACATTTTAGTTGTGGCTTCAAGTGAGCGCAGCAGAGGCGCACGGGCCATATACTAGAATCTATCCTTAGATGCATGAAGATCAGGGTTGGTCAAGTATTGCAGCTCCTGCAACTCCTGGAATTTCTCATGGTCTCGAATATGTGCGTAATTTGCTGATAAGCACATCAAATAATGCACAAGACTCAATATAACAAGCAAGCAGGACACCATAGCCAAAATAAACATAAATTCTGCTTTCTCAACATAGTCTTTGCAAAATAATTTGACTTTGTGTGCTTCGCATATCCTCATGTCCTCTTGCCTCACAGAAGATGGAAACATAAAGTCAAATTGAGTAAAATCAATGCAAGTCGATAGATCAATATTTTTTGGCTTCGAGCAGAGTTTCCAAAATATGGTAAATAAAAATGTCGTTATAACTAAAAATCCTAGGAGTATCAGCCAAACAAAAGTTAATACATATGTAATAATCATAAAAACTGCGCAAGATATCCGTCCTCCGACTCGAGCCCTCCATGCTCTGTAAACCTTTTGTCTAGTAGCACCTGTTGTAAGGCAGCCTAAGCATAGCAACATAAAACCTAATGCTGCCATACAAGCACTGCCAACAATGAAAATCATTTGAAGAGCTTCTATCCATATTAATCGAAAGTGAAACACTTCATCAAACATCAAAATTGAAAGGGCAGATCCACGATACATGGTACCACAAAATACTCCCACGCCCAAACAACACATTATTGTAGCTATGAGTGTGGCATGAGGTACCCTAGTAAGACACGCTTGACACGCGTCCCCCATAATGTCTGAATTTTCACTTTTCACCTTTCGAAGAAAATTTCACGTACTTTTTCTTTCCTTTCCTTTCGAATGAGTCAAATAAATATGGAACTTGAAAGTGCCACAGATTGCCGATTGACAAGTATAAATTAGGTATAGACATTCAATGAATTTGAATTTTATTTGTTAGGCACAGACATACTAATGTTTTGTACTTTTTTGTGTTACAACATTTATTATTCACTCAGAGTAACATATTATTCTAACAATAATTTGTTATTTTAAAATGATTATAAAGTTACTAAAAATGTTTTATTATTAAAAAAAAATACACTATGGGAATAGTCAATTTTTTAATTATTTTGGTACGAGTTTCAAAAACACTGTTGTAAAGCACTGTATACACTATAAAAAAATCATAGTCTAAAACCTCACCACGTCCACGACCAGTCTAAAACATAACGTGATTAATAGACGAACCCCTAGTTGTAAATATGTCCAAGTTTTTCGCTAGCAATCTTCAATATTAACAATTAACTAAAACATTAACGTGTAAGCTATAAACTAGGCTTGCGCATAGTAATTCGCGACTGGGAGCGGTCAATTTAGTTCGCAAGCCCTTAGCGAACTAGGTCAGTCTTTTAGTTCGATTGTTCCTTTCTTGAATCCCAGACAGATCGTTCGTCCGATCCAGCTTTACTACCCTTCCGGTAGTTCACTAAAGAAGTGCGAATTACACTGAACATCCCCAAGTGCGAACTATTATAGTACGCGAATATAATCAGATACTGACAACTATGCGCAGAATATTTTTGTATATCGAGCCTGCTTGTAATTTTATTTTATAACAAAATTTGCCGCACCGAGTCAAAACTCCAAATTCTTGTTTGTTTTTGCGACTAACCAATTATCCACAGGCAATACAAATAACCACAGACATGAGATAATACACATTACACTTCACAAGTCCACAGTCCACTAAAATCCTTTTTCTACAGACCACATAACTGAACGTTAAGAAACGCAATTGAAAGTTATTTGTACTAGCTAGTAGCTGCCGATCTTTAGTTCGTTTCGTACACTAAGTACATGACAGATGACTTCGAAAATGTGTCTTCGAATTCGAAAAAGGATCCGTAGCACAGAATACCAATATGTAGCATTCGTAGGATTGAGAATGAACTAAAGAAGTAAGGAGCGAGGGACCTGGGAACTAGTTCGCGTAGTTCGTCTGTGTGAGCGCTCTTTCGAACTAGTTCGGTTCTAAAGTATTGTGTAAAGGAATAGCAAAATCATTATAGCGTGTTATTGAATTTCTAAGATATATTACAAGTTGACTACTACATAATATTATTTTTATTTTTATGGATCCATTGACAAAGACCAGCTTTATATGGAAAAATGGCATAATTGAGTTATATATAAGGTTCACCTTGCCTGTAAACATGGGTCTGTCAAATGTAAACAATTCGATAGCCACTGTTGTCGTAGACTGTTGTTTGGTATTTATTAATTATTTCTTTTGTGGCTTTTAAAATAGTTTATTAATCTCCGTGTGCATTCAATCCAATTCTTTTGTTCAGTGGCTTCTTAAAGTGCCGTTTGGGTACAATTTACTTGGCCAATGTCGTGTAGAATTCCGTGTGTAATAAGCTTTACTACTATTTAATACTAATGCCACGTCAAAATGACATACTTAGTGTTAGTTGTCACTTGTCAGATTCAATGTTCATTTAATAAACACTACATTCATTTTTATTATAAGATTTGTGTGCGAATATAAGTATTTAATGTAAGATTTATGTCTGCATATCTCAAGCAGACTTATTTTTCGTGACTTGTTATTGTTATGGTAATAATTAGTATAAGTTACACAAAAAAATGGAAACTTTGTACCATCAGACAAGTCAACTAGTACAGGAAGCTTCATATTTGTTCCACAAATTAGAACTGGAACCAGATGGAGAAAAAATTGAGGATGCAATCCAAACTAAAATCAACGCTATTAGTGCGTGAGTTTCTTTTATAAATTAAAAAAAAAGTTTCTTTAAATAACTGCATGACATTTTTGTATTAACAAGAAATATTTACTATTTACTTTTAAATTAGCCAGAAAATTCATAACCACAATATGCTTTGTTTGTTTTTGTGTAATATAAAAGTAATATATTTATGCATTGAGCATTTTAATAAATACATTTTTGTTGTATGTCATTTCAGAAATTGTGAACGGTTAGATGTTCTAGTATTTAAAACCCCCATCAATCAAAGGCCTATGGCTAAGATGCGAGTTGATCAACTTAAGTATGACATCAGACATATTCAGGTAATATAATTCATTTTCATTGATCATATCTCTGAATTCACATTATTAAAAAAGCAAGGCCAACCATTATATTTTTTTACAAATATACACTGAATTCAAATTTTCCAATATTGATATCTCTACTAAAGATATATACTTATATCATTATTATTAATAATATTGATATCTTTACTAAACATTATTTCAAATAGACAAGATATAATGAATTTCAATTTAAATGAAAGATAGTAAATTAAAAAAGTTTTTGCACGAGGGAACAAATTTTTAAGTATGAGAAGGTATAATTTTTTTAAAAGTTCATGTAAATTTTGATAATTTAAATATATAAATAATGTTATATTCTGTATTTTCAGGCTTCTCTGAGTAATGCTAAAAATAAAAGACGCCGAAGGGAACAAGAGAAGGAGGAGAGAGAGCAATTATTGAATAGACGTTTTGGTCATGACCACACAGCAATCACTGTGGACTATTTGGCTCAAGAGCAGAATTCTTTGCATAATTCTCATCGTAATGTTGATGAAATGCTGCATACAGGTTCGATTTCTTATTATGTTATATATTAAAACATACCTATATATTTATAATTAATAACCTTATGACACAATAAACAATTAATCTTTTTAAAGATTAAATAACTTTTAATTTTATAATAGTGTTATCAGGACTTAGGATCAGCAAAAACAAAGAAGTTGAATTATATGACAATAGATGGCGTTAAGTGTACATTCTGGTTTAAAAAATATTCTACCTGAAGGAATTAAATGATGTGATCTTAAATCAAATTTATTAGTATATATTATACTCAATGCAAAATAGGTGAACAGACTTTGAGTTGCAGAAACAAGCTTAAGTACCCATACCATACCATTACCAATACAATTGTAAAACTCATTAAAATATGTTTTATAAATATAAAATAAATTTTGCTTTATTATTTTAATATAGGTATAGTATTAAAAAAATAAATAATTGTGTTTCAAATGTTTGCGGATCAACACCATCTATCGTCTATATAAAAAAATGTAATCTATGGATATTTCTTTTTTTGTATAGGATGGGAAATCTGTACTAGTATACTGTGTTTCTATATAGATAACTTTTTCAATTTTCTTTGAAATCACTAAACATGACATTAGCTGTTTGTGCTCACTATAACTCCCTCATTTTAATAAATATAGATTCCGTAGTTTCTTGGGAATAACATAAGATGCAGGTCTTCAGTGGGGCCTCAATCTGTTTATTGCAGGTAGACTGAGCTCTGCTGTTTTCGCTGTTCGAAAAGTTAGGCAGCTTACAGATATCGATACTGTTAGACTTGTTTACTTCAGTTACTTCCACAGCATCTTGTCTTATGGGATTTTGTTGTGGTGTGTAGTAATGTAGCGTAAATTAAATCTTTATTTATGTTTAAAAAAGCCTATTTGGGCAATTAATAACATCAGAGTATAGCATACTCTACGAGATTTTTTAAATACGTCTGTATACTTATGGTTGCATCTCCATATATGTACAGTGTGTAACAGGACTGATAGATCAAAGCTGGCAGGGGGTCGAGGTTTTCAATACCTATCGATTTTTGATTTTAACAAGTAAATGGAGAGAACCCGACTTTAGCCTAAACTAAGCAAATACAGCCAAAGTATAACTATAGGATAGTGGTTTTTATTTTTCTAAAGTAGTATAATAGTGAGGCTTTCTTACAATTATAATCTTTTTTTCGGAATCTTCTAAAATGACCAATAAAAATAAAATATCATGAACAACTTCTATTACTACAACTAAATTAAACTACGATTAAAATTTAAATTTATACACACTATACATTACTGGGGTACATACCTATGTAGTTCTTTTGTAGAATAACTTTATATTAGCACTAGGGACTTACGCTCGCTTCTCTCGGGTGCATCCCTGGTTACGTTTTAAATAGATATGAATAGTTATTGCGAGTGTACCTTAGGAGATACACATAGGTATACTATTGCAGACTTCTTTGTAGGTCTCTTTAAGATCTACAATTTTCTAGTACATTGTTTTGATATATTTCTTAAGGTTTAGCTAGAGCAAGCTAAATAAATTTCTAAGGACGACTCGATAGAACCAGTTATTGTTTTCCCGTGGGAATGAACGATTTTACTGTAGAAAAACAATTTAAGTCAAAATCGGTCCAGTCCTTTTGTTTGAAACGCGAACACACAAACTGACAAATAGACAAAATTATTGATAAAAACTTAAAAAAATAAAATAAAAACTGACTTCCAGGCACTAATATGTAAAAAACATGGGGTTTTCATTTAGAAAAGATAGGTACCTAATCAGATATTATGATATGTATATATTATATGATAGATGATTTTAGCATTAAAATTCTTAAAAAGTATGTCTTGGATAGTTTTTCAATATTCGTTTATATGATTTATTTCTACTACTACTACTACTACTGATTGTCCATATAATTTTATAGTTTTCATTTGCACTATCTATTATTAATATGTCTATTTGGAAAATTGAAACCCCCTGAAAACCTATACCATATGGCATGTCAAAGCAACGAAAAAAGTTTTTCAATAATTTTATACTAATCAAAATGTTAATATTATGTTAGTACTTCCTACATCTGTTTGTGGCCGGATACCATATAAATAAGATCCAATTGTGACTTTAATCTTTTTTTTATTATTGAACTTAAAACATTTAAAACAGCAAAAGATACTATTATCCTAATAAAAAAGTAACATAATGAGATTATTTGAAATTATATTAAGTATTATGGACTAGCGACCGGCGGAATTGTTCTCTGAGGCACGGAAATGAGATGAAACACCGCAAACTTCCCATCTCTGGGTTGTTACTAAGACTTTCTAAATAGAAAGTCTTAATATATAAATAAACTTGACCCGACCCGGGACTTGAACCACAACTCGAACCTTGTAGTGCAACGTTATAAGCTAGCCACTAGACCACCGAGGCAGAGGCTAAAATAAATTCATTTATTGTAAAAAAAAACAACCATTTAGTTTGATTTTGTTACACGTGCACCTTAGATAATTGAATTTTGGGAGTATTGACCGTCTGACTTGATGGCCTTACGCCGGTAGGGACTTTAAATGCGATGCTTAGGGACATCTTGCGTGATGCCTATAGACATTTGATTGATTGTACGGCTGAATAATACCGAATATTTTCCTGGTACTTTATTTTTTGTTATGTTAAATTGGGTATTTTATCATGTTTTTGGACCGATTTTAGAAAGGAGCAGGTACTAATAAAATTGTAGCTTTGTTTTTGTGTGTGTTATGTGAATGTTACGTGTGATATGTTCTCCAATTATGAATCATGCTAACAGTTTTTGTGCCATCTGCACACAGTGGACTCCAGCGACCTGTACCAATTCGTTAGATCATTATGGGGATCCTACCCACGCTTTGCCTTCCGGTTTCCATCTAAAAAAACCTAGCTTAGTCGACTTTGTTTTCTGGGTGCAATGTGACACTGCCACACTTTGAAGTTACATTGGGCTAGTAACATTGTTCCTTCGGCGTAGCTTCTCTTATCGATATCGTAGAAAAACTATAGCCCTCTCTATATGCTCTATGATAGTATGAGTGACGTCTTGAACTTTCTTATAAATAGCATGGTGGGTAAAAGTGTTCTTTTATTTGTAATTGTTTAATTTTACTTAATTTTAAAAATTGCAGTATTTTGTACATATTTTTTTTAGCTGGAAACTGCTTTATATATTTGCCACTTATTTGTTGTGACAAAAGAGCACGATATAACTCACAGCCCATGTTCTAAAAATTACCTGCATTTTCTGTGTTAACTTTTTAGAACATATTTTATTGGGACTTGTGCATTATCATATCAGAATTATTGTAATCAGGTTGGTGGGTTGGTTTTGCCATCATTCACACGACAAGACCTTGAATTTGATGGCCCAAAAAGTGACCTTACGTTACGTTTTTAAGTGGGTTCAGTCTTTAGCTCCATATAAACCTAATGAAAAAAGTTACCTGTGCTAGCATCTATCTGATCGATGCTAGAGCGACACATTAGTATTAAATAAATCACATACTTATTTTAAAAAAAAACTACTTGTTTCTAATTATGAATTACTTTTAAATGTGCTATTTGTGCTATTACTATTTATGCATGTCATTTTAGTATTTAATACGAGAAAAGGACATGCTTGGTCTTACTTACCGAGTTCACATGAAACCTAAATAATTAAAATCTATCATTTTGTAACAGCGTGGTTATTAATTATAATAATTAATAAATTTACGAATATTCACAAATATGTATTTGCATACTATATTAATTAAAGTTATATTTTAAATAAAGCTATCTTTTCGGAATCTTTCGTGGATTTATTTTGATTTTTGTTCCCGCGTAAATTTCAGAAAGAATTAAAGTTATATTTTGTGGTTTCGAATTTAATAACAATAGGTGATTAAATTACTGTAGCAAGATAAGTAACAAAATTACTGTAGCAAAAATGTAAAAAAAAAACAGAATTTGAAATTGTAAAAAAAATCAGAATATTTTATAAAATTAATTAATTCTTAAAGTATTTAAGGAATATCAACATCAAGTGTCGTTTTCTCCGGCCATCAATTTTTACAAACGGCACGATTTTTACAAAGCACAAAATAAAGTTTAGTGAATAAATTACCTTAAAAAAGGTTTAAAAAACATCTCAAAAGTTATATAGGCAGAAAGCATAGATTCGAAGGTCGCATGAATATTATCAGCAATCCCTAGTAATTGCCTTCGCTTCGCTCGGGTGCGTCCCTGTGTGCCTAACAATTAGTCTAGTTCACAAGTGCCTTTTTGTTAAACCCCTGGCCTGAACCACCGACAATTATAATTTTGGTGTCATTTGATTCGAAATGGCATCTAGAATAAATGTGAAATTGGAAATTTGGGGCAGCTAAAATAGCAAAAGTTATAAACAAGTAAAAAAATAAATAAATGATGGTCTTGTTATTTGTAAACATTTCGAAAACTATTTGAGATATCCAAAATTTGGAAAAAAAAACCTTAAAGAACAGGAGAAATTGTAGTATTGTTTTTTTTGTATTTAAAAAAATATTTCGCAAGAATTCATTTGCTTATAATAAATTGTTTGTTTAATAAAGAAATGAAAAATATTTTTTTCATAATATGAAAGAAGGTGATAAATAATGATATTAAAAAAATGATTTCTTAACAATAGTATTAAGCAAGAAAAAAATTGTTAGTTAGAAGTGCGCTTAAAAAAATTTTTTTTCTTAAAAATCATTATTTTAAAATTTAATTTTTAACCTTCATTACATACTCGTTTACCTTAAATTGTTAATAAAAAATAAAATATCAAAATCTCTTATTTTTCCAACGGGGATCTCATCTAAATCCTTTCAAGAATAGCTGTAAGAAGTAAAAAAATTCTAGGTCTTTAGTTTAAAAATAATCAGGTGTTTTATGTTAACCACCACCTCAAAATGTTGAGTAAAAAATTGTTTCTTTTTCAAAAAAAATGTTATTTTTATAAC